TTTTCATGTTTTAAACTTCTTTTAAAGTCCTTTTATGATGGAAGAAGTTTGTCTATTATAGATGACACAATAATTGTTTCATCCAAACTCATATTATATTATTTAAACTGATTAAACATTTTTTCAATTTTTTACAGTTGTTCAATCACAGAGCATTTATCAACCATATGATAATTATTGAAATGACTAACAAAAAATTTCTTACTTGTTACATCCTTTGTCATAAACCTGGTCTCAAATTTCTCCCATAACTCATTTGCAATAGTCTCATTTTGGTATGTATCAAACAGGCTGTTAGAAAGATTGTTCAAAATATAACCTTTACACATGTAGTCTGCATTATCTCATTTATGCCTCTCTTTTATTGCAATAATAGATTTTTTTGTTTCATTTTCTTCTAGCTTGGGAGTAGTCAAAATATATATAACCTTCAAGGTTGAAAGCAAGAAATGCATTTTTTTTTGCCATTTTTGAAAATTACCACAATCAAAACAATCCAATTCGACAAAACTAAAAGTCAATTTCCTAGGCATTGCTTTAGTAGCCATTGTTGAACCAAATAAAACCTTAAATTGTTAGTGCAAATGCTGAAAATATAAAATTATTACTTTTGATAAATTTGAAATTTTGAGAAAAATCTCCAATGCATATAATAGTGCCACTTTCCTTAAGGTTTTATTTGCCATCGCCATATTATTTACTTAGTAGGTATGCAAAAGGGTTGTAAGCAATAAATCTTGAGGATACAATGAAGCTCATTGACTGATTGCATTTTGCATTGAAGAAATCATAGCACTAAGCAATTATTGGTGTATCACAAGATCACTAAACTTTTATAAAAGTTTTTTGCAACAAAAATTTTATAAAAAAATTCTAGAGTTTGAAAAAAGAGAGAGTTCCAATAATTACTTCTATATTTTTTTCAAAAAACTAGAGGAGCCTTTTATAAATAGATAAGTGTCTTTTCCTATAGACATAATTATTTATTTTGAATAGATAAAAACGGTCTGTTTTTGAATAGTTGAAACTATTCATTTTGAACAGATTTAACTTTCTGTATTTATTTTTTTTTTCTCTTTTTCAATATGAGATTATTTCTTATATTTATTTTGAAAATCTTTAACAAAACATTCCTTTTCCTGTTTGTTTTCTTTTTATGATTTCTTTTAAAACAGAGGTTGGAACTAATGATTTCTACTTAAATTGTTTCAAGTTGAGTTATAAACTATAGAAGTCGTTATCAAGAATTCAAGATAAAGTTGGTGCAGTATTTATGGAGAAATCAAATGGAACCGGCAGATGGTGTGTTCCCGGTGACTGGAAAAGCTAGAATTATAATGATGATGGATTAAAAATCTTCTCAAAAACAGCCAAACAGTCCATCTTTGTAGTAGGAGAAAGAAAAAAAAAAGATTAAAGGATTGTCATTTTATTGGCCAAAGAATTACAAAAAGAGAAGAGCTTTTGCTTTTCTTTCACTTTTAGGAGCGTCTTGATCTTTTGGATTCTGCAAAAATTAAAGTACAAGCATTTTTTTTTCTCTCTCACATTCAGCAAATGACTGCTTAGATTTGGATAATTACCCTTTAATTTGAGACATTAACTGTGTGACACTGTGGCTAATCAGTTGTTTAGTGGACTTCCAAAGTGTGATTAACCAGACATTGCCAAGAACACTGTCTGAATCCTTTGATCATTTGACAAAAAAAAAAAAAAAAACCCTCTGAGCAAATGTCATCATTTTACTTCCTGGGTAATGGTGTTAAAAACCAAAACATGTATAGACGACTAATAATAATATTTTCAAGTCAAAATGAAAACCGTAAAGATCAAGAAAAACATCTATGGACAGTGGTCCATTCCTGATTTTTTCGTTCTAGAGGTTCTCATATCCCACACAGATACCCCTCGACTAGGTTTAATTTTTCCTTATGGCAACCAATGCTTTTCTTGCTTATAAAATTTTTTTTCTTGGCGCCAAGGTTATCATTTCAAGTGAGCTTTGCTGATTCAAAACTTTCAACATGTTTAATTTTTCTCTGTGCTTTGTTTTCGGGTATTTTCCATTCATTAAGGTTTTATAGGAATGCATAAAATTAAATAGTCACAACTGGATAGTTATTGATAAAGTTGCAAAATGCGATTGCCAATGGTGGAATGGTGACTAATGTATTATGATCGAAAGCCAAATTGGTAATTAAAGGTGAGAAAGCAGTTGAAATGAAAATCTAGTAAAACATTGCCAATTGCTATACAATTGACGACAAGAAACATTGAATTCAAAATTCAATCCTCATGATTAATCCAAACCTCAAACGGTAAAAACTTAAGACTGAATCAGGGTTTAACCTTGGATGCTTTTGTTCTTGATGCACTCATGAAAGACGTGCTTAAAAATCAGTTGTTAAAGAGGCTTTATTTAAGGACACAAATTTCTAACCCTTTTTTCCTTCCCCAATATTCTTTTAAATTTCTCCCTTTTGTTTTTCAGCTGCTTCGAAATTTACCTTTTTTCCCCTTTTGCAGTTTTCACTAGAAATTCCTTTCTCAGTTCAAAAAAAATAAAATAAAATGAAACTTCACCCATATGACCCGTGTCAGTTTTTTTTTTTTTTGGTGCTAATCTCAAAGACCATATTCCCATTTTCCTTTTCTTAAGACTTTTTAATTTTGGTCTAAAGCAAGTCTTCTCTTCCTGTTTGAGATCCGAGCTCAACAGATAAGTGTCATGCCACACCCATTACACCATTTTTTTAACTCATCGCTTTGGTTTTGCAGTTCTTCTTCTGTCAAATGTAAGGCAGATGACTAGATTTATTAGTTCAATATTTTTTGCATTTGACTGAATATTCTCTCTTTCCCCCTAGTGTCAAAGACTCAAAGATCACAGCTAGTACTATTGGATTGTTGTTCATACATGTTTGGTCATGTAAATTTTCGTATTTCTGAACATGGTTAACTAGGGTTTTCCAATCACAAACCTTGTTTGTTTGATTCCATTACATAGTGTCCAGTATCTTGAGTTACCAATATATTTACTGTATGTTGTGTAACAGATCAGAAGGAAAGCTCCAAGCTGTTCTTCAAATTTCCCTAGTGTAAAAACTATTGTTTCTTAACAATGACACACGATGAACTCTGCAAATCAAGGAATCAGTAGTGATCCAGATTCGGGAATGTAGCTTCACTGTATTAGATAAACTTGATTAAACTATTTGTTTTACTAGGGTTTTGCTCTTTGGGGCTTTAACTGATGATTTTTTTTTTCTGTTTCATATTAAAACTCACCCAAGTCCTTGAGATTCACCCCATCCATAATATAACGCCATAGCTAGTCATTTAAAATCAAAGACAACAAGCCGATAATTGCATAGTTTATTGATAGAACGTTACATTTTTTTAATTTCAGTGATAAAATTCAAAGCAGTTTTAAATTAAAAAAAATCAAAGATAAGAAGAGTAAAAGAAAACAAAAAAGTCTATCCCTTTGCATTGGTTCTATTAGATCTTGGTCATCTAGGCATGCGCAACACCTCCAACGCCATGGACCACCATCAAAAGCATCCAGAACATTCGCCGTATCTCCGGTGTCTCCACTATTCACCACCTCCATTAAAAATTTCCCATATGGATTAAGATTGGGTCCCCATGTGTCCCCGTAACTCTCGTGTAATTTTTTTTAATTTTTCGTCGTCGTTTAATTCAGCCAATTAATCAGTCATTAACAATATACTTACAGTGTTTAATCCAGTTTGAGCTGGCAAAGTCACCTGCATTGGCTTAATCTATGTCTTTATCAAAGTAATCAACATATGTACAAAAGGGCATACCGGTTTAGCTCTTGGGCCCATTTGCCTGTAGAGAAAGGGTGATGGGAGGAGGCAGTTCTTTCAATTATTTTTGCTCACTTTTATCACAACAACAGGGATTATTATTATTGATTGAAAATGAAACTACTCTTAAAATTAATCAGTCAAATGTACTATTAGATGTCTGGAAGCTAATGGACAACTAAGAAAATTGGTGTAGCAGCCAAGCTGGCCTGGATCAAAATAATGGCTTGTATGGATGAGCCTCTCTATAGTTCAGTGAGTCCATGTCTTAGCTTGATTTGTCGTTTCTTTCTTTCCCTTTCCATCAAGTTTTATTCCATTTTATTTTATATGTTTGTCTAAACTTTGCCTCTTGAGTCTATTGTTTTTGTAGCTTGTTAGGTACTTGAGAGTAGCTCCTTTTGCTTTCCAAATAATCTTAACTTGGTTCTAATACCGTCATCGATTAATAGATTGCAACTATATGAAGAAAATGTTAGCTAGATCTTTCTACGAGCTGAGTTGCACATCAAGCTTGCAGGTCTAACTCGACCCAAACCAACCCTCAGACATAATTTCTAAAGCCTAACGCGACTCGGCCTATAAATATACATTTTCATAATTTTAATTTATTTTAAAATTTTTTATTTTATTATTTATCTAATTAAAGAAGATATTATATACATAAATTTTTTCAAATTCATAATTTTTAAATATTAATTTTAATAATATTTTAACTGATCCAAAAATAATCGAGGTATAAATGTCTCTTTTTAAGTGTTACCTAAGGTGATATGATAAATGCAAAAGCGACCTTCCTTTTCACATTTACCTGCCTTGGGTTGTATTAATAAAAAATGGGTTTCAAATTCCAATGACAAATGAAAAAGCATAATTGGATTGGTCCTCTTGATTCAGTTGACAAGTAAGAACTACAAATTTTGGGTTTGAACCCATTTTTTTCATACCAAAAGGCCAGTGAAAGGAGCAAAGCTTAATTTTTAATGGGCCAGTAGAAAAGTAAATAGCATACTACTAATCCAGCAAAAGAAGAAAAGAAGCATAGGCCATTCCATAATGGTCCAAGAAACCCAATGATTCAATCTTTTTCTGAATATACACGTGGCAAAATCAGAGGAGCACAAGTAACATAAGAATGAAAATATTCTAAAATTGCCTTGCACTCAGGTGAGAGTATCGAACTAAACTCTGAACTCCAACTCCAAGCAACGAACCATCTGGCACCAAATATAAATAGAGACCCAAAATCAAAATGGCTGCCACTGTCTGCTGTAGGGCGTCAGAGCTTGTTTCATCCTCCACAATACGACGCCGTCTGCCACTCGTCGGTGCGTTTTGCGTCCTCAGTTTGGGCTTTTCCAATATCTGCCCAACTCTCTCTTCTTCCTGTTGCCTCAAAACGGGTTGTGCTCAGTCTCTCCCCTTTGTTCCTCTACTAAGGTATTTTTTAGTTTGCATCTGCCTTTATAAAAATTCAAAATTTAACGCTAATTTTCGGTTGATTTTTCTCTAATCTCCGTTGGGGTTCTTGTTTTAGATCGAAATTTAGTACCCAATCACCGGACAAGACCGTCCACGCTGTAAAAATGGAAGGGAATAGCGACACTGTTCCAAGCATCGTCGTTTATGTCACTGTTCCTAACAGAGAAGCAGGTTGTGTTTTTTGTCCTTTTTTTTTTTTTTGCTGAAAAGAGTAACTGTGAATTCTGTCATCAAATGGAATCTGGGTTTGGGGAAAACAAAACATATTTAGCAATTTCAGCATTTGGGAATTTAAAACTAATTGATCAAGAGTCAATTTTTCAAGCTTTGTATTTTTTTTCCCTCCTTTGTTGTAATCCGATTGTGGGTCTTGCTTTCATTATTGAAAAGTTTTGCACTTTAGAAATAAGTGCAATGCTTAATTAGATTTGCTGATTCACTTTGAGACGGCATGGTAGAAATTTCTTAGCTTTTCTGTTATCCTTTTTGCTTCTTTATATTTTAAGGTGCCTGATGACTTTGCTGGAGGATCCATTATCATGTAGTGAATGTATAAAGTAGTTGAACTTGAAAGCACCTTTCTAATTAATGCACAATAATCAATATATATGCAGGTAGGAAGTTGGCTGAAAGTATCATCAAAGAGAAACTTGCAGCATGTGTAAATATAGTACCAGGTTTAAGTCTATCTAAAGTTCTTTTGATTTGTGCCATTATATGGCAATCCTTTTCATTTGAACATGATCTGTTTTAGGCTATGATTGCCAATTTAAGCTTGCATGTTTAAGTGTAAATATTGAAATTATCGTGCAGACGGTTAATATTCTTTTAATGTTCCTCAAGTCATCTTGTAGAGATCTTTGCAATAACTTGTTTCTCTAGTTCATTCATTTCAACATGGCAATTTGAAATGAACCACCTTGTAGCTTGAAGTCTTGCTTTGTAATAGTTAATGTGGCTTCTAACCACCTCTAGATGTTTTCAAGAAATCTTTTATCTCTTGTTTTTTTTTTTGTTATGTGATTACATTCATTTTCATAAAATCCCTCTAATTGAATCCAGTTGGTCTTCCCCCCTTCCCCCAGAGACATGCACATATTGAAATCATGTTTTTTTGTAATTTCATAAGGGACTATTCCTTATTTCTGATTTATATTCACTTGAATAATAGTTACTGAGATAGATTTCTTATGAATCATGAATATATTGTGAAAGCAGGTCTGGAATCAGTGTATCTATGGGAGGGAAAGGTACGTACTTTCTTTTGGATACTTTCTTCTGTCGGAATAATGCAAGTAAAACATTAAAGCTTCAGTTTTCCTAACAAATTGAGATATATTTTGAGAATCTATAAGAAAAAATCCTTTGACTTTCAGAGCTTTTGCTTAGGCAGCCAATCTAAATGATTCTGATGGTCTTGTGTAGCTAAGTTTATATGCATATATACAAGCAAGAACAAAGTAATTAGGTTGTCTTATTTTGTTTAATCAAATTATCTCTATTGGCTGCAGATCAACACAGATCCTGAGGAACTGCTCATAATCAAGACAAGGCAATCCCTCCTGGGAGCTCTGACAGATCATGTCAAGGCAAATCATGAATACGAGTAAGCGCAAAGCCTTCTTATATTTTCAACAAAAATATTAAGACTTGAATTCAAAGTTCGAAATTGCAACTACAACATTGATAAGGATTGTTTTAAAAAGAAAAGAATCTGAGTGTTCCTTATCCTTTTGGGACGCTATTTTCTGTTTACACTGAAACTTTTGTTGAATTTCTCTCAAGCTAAGAAAAGAGCACCACTTTTTAAATTAAGAAATGACATTGGCTGGATTGTTTTCTTGACCTTACTCTTACATTTATCTCAGTGTACCAGAAGTAATTGCCTTGCCCATCACTGGTGGCAGCCCCCAGTATCTGGAATGGCTCAAAAACAGTACAAGGGACTGAATTTCTCGGATGTAGTATGATGTGCTAAGTGTGTGAAACCATTTAAGTGTTAACTTTAAGGGTGCCCGATCTCATATATGGTTTTTGTGAATAGACGGCTTCTTCTGGCTTGAATAAAGGTGGTGTGTCACATTTGTAATAGGAAGAATCAAATCTAGTTATGATGGGAAGAAATGTTTGAGTTGGTCGCTTTGAATGTAAGACAAGGAATTTGCCTTGATAAAAAATACAACCTGTTATCTATCATTCCGGATATTATTTCATTTTTCCCCTTAGGCTCTGTTTGGTAACCATGAAAATGAATTCCAGAAAATATTTTCCTCGTTTTCTTGTGTTTGGAAGGCAGAAAATAATAGTCAACTAAAAATGATTTCCGGTCAACAAAAAATTTAGTGAAGGGATGCGAAAATTGTCTTCCTTTTTCTTTGGGCAGAAGACAATTTCCACAGTGGCCACTTGCTTCCATCTGCCCCAGCAAATTTAAAAAGTTCTTCAACTCCATCCTTTCTGTCGTAATTCTTTCTTCTGTCTTCAAATCATTTTTTTTTTTCATAACCCACCATGAAACCCATGGATCTCGTATAAAACTTCCCATCATAACCAAAAATTCTGCATCCGCCATCTTTAATCTCCTTCATCTCTTTCTTTACTTCCAATATGCATCATCCTGCATCACCAACCACCATGAAAATATCTTGCTTTTCCTTTCCATTTGTTGTCTCCAAAACAACCCATTGAAGCTATACAGATTTTCATGAAATTTTGGCGAAATTAAAGTCCGCACGTCAAGAGTTTGATTGGAATTTTATCAATTATAAATGGGTATCACGAATTTTTTATGAATTTGTTTAAATTTTGATTTGAATTTTGATGAATGTGAATGGATTTGACATACGAGTTGATGAATGTTGATAGAAAATGTTTTCTGTTGTTGTTATCCAAAAATTTAAAAATATATATATTTTCCATAAAATTCTTCAAAAAATTGAAAACTTTTCCTTTTCGAAATGGATTTTCATAGAAATTATCTTCCATTTGGAAGTTATTCTCAGTTTAACAAAGGAAACCTTAATTTGGAAAAAAGAAAGCAGAATAGAAACACACCTGTCCTAGCTCAAGTTCACTAATATAAGCATTTCTTTTCTTTCTACCTGCATGCTGTGTAGACTGTAGTTGGATGGTAATGGTGGTCATTAGGCAAGATGGTAATGTTCTACATTCTGTATTTCCGATACTTAGGTTTGGGTGGGAGGGGAGTCAGCATTTTGATGCAATGGTGGGTGGGTGGCCATTATTTTACGACAAACTAGATAGTTGAGGTTGAACTGCCACATTTCCTGCGTTTCAACAAGGTCTCTTTACTGTCTTTTGATACGAGGGAGCCTTTTGATAATGGAGTAACCTTTATTGTCAGATGATAATGACTACCAATAAATTTGGTTAGGCCTCATTGAAAAGGTTTTCAGCATCTATCTCAACGAATAAACTATGGTACGGTTTGCCTGCGATAATGTTTAATTTTTCAGAGTTTGAAGTTTTGTGGTCTATCGGAATCTGATATAAGGGTTCAATTATAAAATATATGTTTTGATAGAGTAAGAAGATTTTGAATATTTATCTCTAACATATGATAATATTTAATTTTTTACAAATATAAAGATTTAAAGTTTATTTGAGAGTTTAATTTAAAAATTTTATCATAAAGGCACGTTATTTTTATCTTAAGAGAAGAAATTTATATGATTTTTATTTTAAAAAGAAATTTTACTAAGAGAGATTTTGGATTAGATTTGTACAAAAATTGAATTATTCTTTTAAATTTGAAATTTTCTTCAAATTTTAAAAAGATTTCGATAAAAAATTAGTTCGTTAAATGAATTTAAACGTAATTTTTAAATTCGTTTAAATCTTAAATCAAATTTTAAATAAAAAATTTAAAATCAAATTTTACGATCTAATTTGAATTAATATATTTATAAATTTTTTATTTATATATATATATATATAAATTACATATTTAATTACTTTATATATATATTAAAAATAAAAAAATATATTTTATTAAACTTAATTTTTACATATATATAATTTTTATTTTTAATTTTTATAAATACATAAATTAAAATAATCTTATTAAAATTAATTTAATCATATTTTAAATTTTTATTAAATAAATTAAATTTAATAAATGAATTTAAAAATTATTTTTAATTTAAATCAAATTTTAAAAATTTCAAAAATCTAAAATTTTAAACCAAATCAAATTTTAACAAATATATAAATTATTAATATTAAACATAAACCCGATCGTAAACACCTCCATTTTCGATCAATTCCAAAATATCTTGAGGTGGTGCCGAAATTTAGGGAAATTCATGTTTTTTGAGTTATACAGTTATGAGAAATTGTCGGGGCTTGTCCATATGAAAGATAATTGTTCATTTGAAAACTTATCTTGGTTGACGTGGCAACAGAATGTAACGTCCAGTGCGACGGCAAAATGATGACGCTTTATCTTTAGTTATCCACCGTTTTCCAAATGCAAATTGTAAACACCACGACAAATTAGTATCCATTTGATCCAGCTGATGATGTGAGAGCCCTTTCCTTTAAAGAGATTCCCTCATGCTAGCCATCTAACAACAAATCACAGCAGATGGTGATATACCCCCTATCATAGGGTTTATGTGAAGAAGACAAAACAAATGTGTAGGGGTAATCTGGTCATGAAAGAGGATAACAATGGGACAAAAAATGGAATAGAAAGGCTAAGGTTTCATGGCATTGGTTTTCTATTCTACCCTTCTTTCTGTTTTTAATCCCTTTACGGCCCTTTTCAAACCTACTTGCTAATGCAAATTCTGCCACAGTAAAATTTTGCCATTTTGAAAAGCAAGTGTCGCAGTAGACTGCAACTGTAAGGTAAATATAACTATTGCCAAATGCTACCTATCCAAGCCACTTCCAAATTCCAAAAACAAGTTTAGTCGGGGAGTATAGCAACATCATGCCATGGGTTGCTTCCCATTTTTCAATTACACACTTTAATCAGCATAAACAAAATGACATTCCAAGCCCACCTCCTCCAGAAGAAGAATAGGACAAATACAGGTTACAACACCTTCTACGGCTCATCTAACTGGTCCTGCATGACAACCAACATCAAATATATTTAGGCACCGTGTCAAAATCCCCCTTAACATGTTTTTCATGTATATGTAAGTGTGTGTGTGAGAAAGGGAGGGAGAGGAGAAAACAAATGACCTGCACATCTGAAGTCCAGAGAGTAAGGTTATCCCTTAGGAGTTGCATAATGAGAGTGCTGTCCTTGTATGACTCTTCTCCAAGTGTGTCAAGCTCAGCAATGGCTTCCTCAAATGCCTTTAAAGAAAAAGAGATATTTAATGAATATCCGACATTAATTTATGATTTATTCTTACCATAACTGGCATCTACACATCAACGTCCAATCATATTGCAAAGAATGTTCCAAAAAACTAAGTCAAGATACCAAAAATGTTACCATTTATATAAAGCATCCAAGTAAGGTCTCCAAACAAGTTACAGCCATTATTTTGCAATAATTTCAGAGGCTGGCTTCATTCCATTTATTTTCTCCCCATAAACGCAAACAAGAGAGATAATAGGGAAAACTCCAAACAATTCATCTCCTAACATACATCTGTTGAAATTTTAGAAAATTTGTACTAACTCGTTCACCACCTAGCTACCACCCCTAAGTTTGACAAATTTGTTCACTAACCAACTGTCAGAAGCAACAATAATGAAGACACGCACTACCATCATTTCATTCCTCAATAAGTTTTGTTGAAACTCTAGTATTGTTGGCTCTTTAAGGATTTGGTTTAGCAGATCTGCATCAATACATATATGGACTATAGGTAATACCAGGATGACACTAGTTTCTTGACAATCCTGATTACACAAATATCAAAATTAGATGGGAGTTTAAGGTAATAGAATGAAATGGAGCTATATATTCACAATAATAGAAAAGAAAATTATTTATCACTAAATCAATTTTAGTTGAATGGATTAAAGCTTATTCAAACTAATATCGATTCAAGCTTTAATGTAATCGGCTCCAGAGAAAGTCGACTACAGCAACACAATAAGTCAAAGCAACCTCCTCCTAGGCCTACTAGACATTAAGGCACAAAATTAAGGATACAAAACATTAAATAAAGAGCATTTGAGATGGTAAAAATGAATTTAATAGCTTAGCAGAAAGGGAAAAAAAGAGAACTTCCAACTGCACACAACTAAGCTTTATAAAACTGATAAGACTAAGACTAAATTAGATATGATATACTCTTACATGCAAACAAAAAAGACCATGAATCAAAAAATCACATTGCTATACATTATTCATCGGTTTACGCAGGACCACGATGTATAAGACAATAATCAATGTTAATATGGCAAGATACAAACGAAGGAAAACGCACCTGCTTAGCCATGCTACATGCCTTATCAGACTGATTGAGAATCTCATAGTAGAACACCGAGAAATTCAGCGCTAGCCCCAGCCTGATGGGGTGCGTTGGTGCTAGATCCGCCAGCGCAATATCCTTCATTCAATTCAACACAAAATCCAAAGTTTCAAATTCAAAAAATACAAAAATTTTTAAGATCAAAACCATAACCTAAAATCATAATCCCCAAGTCAACATCCAAAATTCTACTCTAAAAGTCAACTATTTAGTCAAAGCTTGGCTTCAAGTTCAAAAAACTCAGATCTCTTTTATACGAAAAAAGTTACCTGAGCAGCCTTGTAAGACAGCATAGTATCCTCAGCAGCAGCTTTCCTCTCATCACCAACCTTAAACTCCGCTAAATACCGATGATAATCTCCTTTCATCTTCAGATAGAAAACCTTGGACTCACTCACGGCCGCAGATGGAATCAGATTTGATTCCAACAAAGTCAAGATACTAGCGCAAACATCCGACAACTCAGCTTCGATCTTCGATCTATACTCCTTAACGAGCACGACATGTTCCTCGTTCTTCCGACCTTCTTCTTTCTGCTCAATGGAAGAAACGATTCGCCACGCAGCGCGTAGAGAGCCGATCACGTTTTTGTAGGCGACCGACAGAAGGTTCCGTTCCTCGACGGTTAGTTCGGCAGCTGGAGTTGAGCCGAGGACCAGCTTTTGCATAAACTGGACCATCTCCTCGTAGCGTTCAGCTTGTTCGGCTAGCTTGGCTAAATAAACGTATTGCTCGCGGCTTAGGTTGTCGGGGACCGTCGTCGCCATTTGCCGAAATTGGTGGGCTCTCCAGGTAGAGTAACAGAGGACTTTTTTAGGTTACTTTTTGTGCGTCGCTGAAGTTTCAGAGAGATTTTTTTATGAAGGGGTGAGGAGGGTAAAATGGTAATTACAGCAAATGGGATTAGTACAATAATTGTCCGTTAGTTGGTTTTTTTTTTTTTAATATATAATTTTGTTTAAGAAAAAAAAGAGATTAAGACGGATTTTGGGTAAAGGGAAGTGGGTTTAGTTTGGGGAATCTGATTTGAAAAGTGGTGGAAAATTTTTGGACTTGAAATGAAATCGGGCGGTTTCGGAGATAAGATTAACACGTAAATTGGGACCCAATCCAGCTTTAAACGGTGCGTTTTTAGAAGCTAAAACAACATACCTGGTTGTGATTTGATACCCAAGCCAGAGCCAGAATCAAAGCATCGGCCTTTATGGATCTTTCGATTCCCACCAGCTGGCCTTGGGGTTTTTAAACTGTATTTCTTTTGGCGGCTGTTTTGTTTCAGTAGGCCAGAAAAAGTCGTACCAACTGGAGATCATTTTCCTATTTTGTAATACACTGAATATCTTCTGAAATTCAAAATTTCAAGGGGTCATTGAGAAGGCAGCTATTCAATTTGGGGCTTGGGACCAGAATCTTGATGCAAACCAGACCCATATGTAAAATGGGTTATTGAGGAATGTTGGATTTTTCTTTTGAGCTTTTTTTTGAGGTTTTGGATCTATCATGCTTCATCACAAAAGATGCTAGTGTTTGCTACTACTGAATTAACAAGCATGCATTGGACAGTTGGTCATGCCCTCATAAGATGGACAAGCATAAGATGTTACAGATGATGTTTTAAATTTCTCTAGCTCACTATACACAACCCTTGTATAACATAAACTTGTAATAAATCCAAGCTTGTCCTCGTCATCGACTGCGCTGTTCGCATTATCAACAAATCTGGGCTGCTCAATTCAAGCATTGTGACAAATATAAAGAAGAGACCTCAATTCCTCCTGCTTAGGCCTACCAAATAGATTGCCTAATCCCGAGACCATTACATGTTAATATAAGTCCTTTGTAACGGTTCAGGTAGTCCTGCAATGAGTGAATTAAAACTTAAAATCTAATACATCCAAAAGTATAAATGTAGCTCAAAGTATGATAGAAGAAATTCTTACAATTATGTCATAGTCATACACATGCAACATCCTCTTCTTATCATATTCTCTCCGTTCGACTGGATCACTGAGAACTGATAAATGAAACCAAAACACCAAATAGTTAATTTCAAATTCATTGTCACATACATGTCAATACTCTTCACTCCATTTTTGTTGTTCTAGTAACCAAATATCAGCAGTTAAATTATAGCTTCAAGTCTTCAACTATCATTGATCATAGAAACTCAGTTCACCAATTCATGCCAATACACAAAAAGTGATCAGAGAACTTTGCTATTACTATCTCAACCATGTAAAACTTTAACTCCTCCCTGGAGGCCTTCAAGAACTTCATGTGAGCACATAGCTACTAAGTCATGAAGCAATAGCAATGCATGGTAGTAATTATCATACCAAATAAGATCATAATTCCCTAAATAACTGTTATAAATGGCACTCTGCACTGGCACAGTTCACATTTAGTATGGTAATAATTATAGGAAACATATACAGCCTACAATTTTCATAAGAGTAAGAATTTGTGCATAGTCATTGAAATGCACAAAAATAATAAAAAAAGGTTTATCTGAAACTAAAGATGAATTGTGAAAATTATGAAAAAAAATTGTAGTCAAGTCCAAAACAACTACTTAATTTAAAATCCTTGTTCATGGATATGCAATGCGCATCATAGACATATGAGCAAACACCATAATTCTCCTCGATTAAATCCACATGAAGGGTCTGCCATGAAATCATAAATTGAAAAGTGAAGATCAATCAAAAGCATATTATAATTAGCTAGATGCAATACCTCATGATTTGCAATTGTACTTATATTGTAATGATCCAAACTCCTCTTTGCTCTCATGCTAATGTTGCTTATCATCCTCGTCTTTTTTCCTTTTATGATAAGTTTTTTTTTTTTTTTTCTTTCACTATACCTCCTCAATTATACTCCTGCTAATGTTGCTAAAAATAATTCTCTTGAACTAACTACATGATGAACATATCAACTATAAAAGAGGCACATGTTGACAGAATCTTTCAAGCAAAATATGGAAAATACAAAGGATAAATGAAATGGTTCACCTTAAAAAAATCAATGAAAAAAATGCAACGGCAAAATTGCCAAACCAAAACGGAAACCCAGATAGGAGAATGAAACAGAGAGAAAACCCAGAGAATAACTTTACTCAAAAGCAAGCAAACACATAAACCCAAAAGAGGAAGAGAAAGAGTAAGATGGTTACCCCGGTAGGCCTCGTTTATCTCTTGAAATCTTGAAGTGGCGCTATTCCCATCGTCCTTTTGCTTATCTGGATGCCATTTCTGCAGAAACCATCTTATACTATTCAGTTATAAAAAAAAAACTGAAGTGAACGTTAAGAAAAAGAAAAAACTGAACCAGTGCAAGACGGATGTAATTTGAGCGAATAGCATCTTCCGTAGCATCGTAATCCACTTCCAATATCTTATAATAATCCTGCATTTACACAACAAATTCCATAAATATACTGATTTTCAAATTTTTTCTTTTCTTTTCTTTTTTAATAGTAAGAAAACGTTTTATTTTATCCCTGGGAATTGATTTTACCTTGGGCTTGGAAAGAAGAGAAAGAAAGTCGTAATTGACGTTACAATCTTGCTCCGGCTGCTGCGGTTCTTGAGGAGTATTGTCCCAATCGACCCACATCACCGCCGTAAGGCCGCGATATGTTAAAAACGATGGTCGTTGGTGGCGCTGTGGGATTGCTTTTAGGAGATAATAATACAATCTATATTAGAATTTGTCCCCGAAGGAGGGCAGGAATCTTCAATCGTGTCTGTGGATTCTAAGCGTGCCGCGTTAAGCGTAAACAACCCAACCGTCCTTCCTTTATTTTTTTTATTTTTTTCACTGTTTTTGAAAAAAAAAATACGAGGAAGTTTCTCGATAAGATAGTAAAATGGATTAGAATTCAATAAAAATAAAATTTTGTTCGATTATCAAATCAAATGATTTGTCTTATTTAAACTTTTTTTTTTTTTCTAGTGGTGAATAAAATTTGTTTTTTTATAATTTTATTTTATTTTTTTTAGTGGTAGTAAATTTTTTTTATACATAATAGATTGACATATTTATATTTTCCATTGGATGACAAATTACAAAGTATTTTAAATCTTCATGTATTGGAAGAAACAAGAGAATTAAAAAGTGTTAGGAAGATCATTCTCTTGGTTTAATCCATTCAATTTTAAAATTTAAAAAATCAAATTAATCTATCTTACTTGAAATAAATCGATTGAAATGTATCGAAGTAAATTGAATAATAAAAATAATTAAAACATACTTAAATCCATTTATTTGTTTGATTTTAACCATTTTAAAATATATAATTTATATTATTATGTATTTTTAAATTTTATATTACTACATAAAAGTTAAATGAGAGATCAACTTACATTACAAAATTTTATATTTTTTATCAAACAAATCATAAATTATATATTAGACACATTATATGTTATATCAAATAAATCATAAATTAAATTATATACAAAATGAATTTAAAAGTAAATTAATGTGATTGATTAATTCAACTTAATCAATTATGGATGTTAAAATTAATAATTGATTGAATTAATCAAATTAATTTTTTTTTAATCAAATAATATCAAAATTAATAAATAAAATCAAATTAATATATTTTGATCATTTCAATTCATCAAATCGATTTCAACCAATTAATGCTCACTTTGAGGGATTGGTAAAAGATTTTTTTTGCACATTGTAAGATCGTTATAAAAGCTACAAATTATAAGTTAAATTTAAATATGTTTAAATTTGAAATTTTATTTTTTAAAATTATAATTGATGTTCAATCTCAAAATTTTCAATCTTAAAATCAGTTTCATTACCATTGAATTTTCAATTCATTAGTTAAACCTCTATTTTATAAGGGAATAAAATGATAAATTAAAAGATGGGTTTACAAAATTCACACTTATGAAATCCAATTATTGCATAATTAAAAATAAAATGACACATACATTAAGTTGAATTTGTTTTTTAAGTATATTTTTCATTAGAATCACTTTCTCTTTATTTCATCTAAATTTGATGATATTTCTTATAAGAGTTTTTTTTTTTAATAAGTTAACTCAAATAATAAAATTTGAGAGATTCTTTAATTTATAAAAATAAATTTAACTCAATTAATTTATATAATTAAATTTTTAAACAAATAATATTTAATAAATTTAAATTTTTAACACCCACGAGCAATTTCTTCCCCATTTCTAAGCAACAAGATTCTTTGTAAAAGAACAAGCTTTCTCCACTTTCAACGGTTCATCAATCCAAATACAGTGGTCAAAGCCCTACCAGCAGCGCCACCAGTCCACCACCATGCACCAACCAACCACAAAAGGAAACAATACCTAACCACGAACCAACCAAACCACGCGTGAACCAGGAACAACCTTCGTCCCGCACGAGCCAACTATCAAAAACCAAAATAGACGAAAACGACAAAAAGAACCTCATAAAACGCCAAAACATTCGATTCTTCAAAAAAATCAAACCCCCGCTTTCAATGGCCTGAACAAAAAATTGCTGTCTATATATATTTTTTTCTATCGTTGTCATTGTCTCGCTGTCAGTCGTCTTTTTTTCTTCGATGGCCTCTCTTTCAGGCCTCTGCTCTTCCTCCCCTTCTTTGAAGCCTAAGCATAATGGAATCTCCAAACTCACCCCTTCGCTTCGCGAGGACTCACTCGCATTCTCAACTCGTTCTAACTCCAACTCTAAAGTCGTCGCGACTCACTCCGTTGCTCGCGGAATATCCGCCGATTTGTCCAAAACGAACAACGTCAGCGTTTTGAAGAAGGCCAGTCAAGGGGGAGAGCTCGAGAAAGATCCTAAAACGCTGTGGAGGAGATACGTTGACTGGTTGTACCAGCACAAGGAGCTCGGGTTGTACCTCGATGTCAGTAGGATCGGGTTCTCGGATCAGTTTGTTTCTGAAATGGAGCCCCGATTCCAAGTCGCGTTTAAATCTATGGAGGAATTGGAAAAAGGCGCCATCGCCAATCCCGACGAAGGACGGATGGTGGGCCACTATTGGTTGAGGAACGCTAAACTCGGGCCGAATTCGTTTCTGCGGCTACAGATAGAGAACACTCTCGACGCCGTTTGCAAGTTCGCCGATGACGTCATCAGCGGTAAGGTTAGTTTCGCGGTTCCGTTTTAACTTGCTGTATCAAACTAATAGATCATCAACATTCAAGCAGGATTAATTTACTAATCATTTTTGCTTAATTTCTTTCGTTCGTTATAAACTACAGATTAAACCTCCGTCTTCTCCTGAGCGTCGTTTTACTCAAATTCTCTCAGTTGGTATTGGAGGTTCGGCTCTGGGCCCGCAGTTCGTCGCCGAAGCATTGGCTCCTGATAATCCTCCTCTAAAGGTATCTGATCAATCATAACTAGTAGGTTCTATTTTAAAGTCGTTTTATTAAATTTGAATTGCGTATTACATTTTCTTTTAGCAGTAAACTTTGAGGGTTTAGTCTGCTGACAGCAAAAGAGCTCCTTATTTGTTAAAGCAAATGCTCTAAGTTCAGTTTTGAGTAGCCTTGTAACTGAATGAATTTAAGTTTTAACTATTTGTGTTTTTTGGAATTGGCTGTTAATATTTCTTCTCTTAATTGGCAGATAAGATTCATTGATAATACGGATCCTGCTGGAATTGATCATCAGATTGCACAGCTTGGTTCCGAGCTGGCTTCTACACTTGTAATTGTGATTTCAAAGGTCAGCATAAAAGCATCCTTGATATGATATTTGTATTCTTCTTTATTTACCTGTTTTATAGATTATATATGAAACATGTATCATCTAATAAAAACTTATCTACTCAGAGTGGAGGTACCCCTGAAACAAGAAATGGTCTACTGGAAGTACAGAAAGCCTTCCGTGAAGCTGGTCTGGATTTTGCAAAACAGGTTTTGATCTCAGGTTCTTGTTTCTGCTTTTATTTGTTTTCCCTTGCTTCACAGTATGATTTCAAAATTTTACTTTGGTTATTTAATTAAAGGTAGGTTGTCTTTGGAGGGTATCCGGAGGCTTTATAACTAGAGTTAGGTGTAGATGTCCATGCATGGCATTTGGAAGTATTCATTCATGAAATGCTGAAAAGCACATAGGAACACACACATATGGATTTTAGCTTTTTTAATTGCTTAACTGACTGATAGTTGTGCTGCCACCATAAAGGAGAGTGTCATACGACAGCCTTTAAGATCTGTTTCTCTCTCTCTCTCTCTCTCTCTCTCTCTCTCTCTGAATGGTCTTAATGTTCTATAAAATAAAAAGGTCTTATTTTGCCAATCAGCTTGTTGAATTTTCCAAGTTGTAAGAAGGTAGTTTGATTTTTTGAACCATTCTCCTTATTTGAAACTATACTTAATGTACTCTGTATGATCCCTTGCATAGAAACTTCACTCGGTAGTACTTAATCTACTAATGAGTTCACATGAGAATTTTGTATTCTTGCATGGTTCTCCTGTACTATGGAAGCAGATTTCCCATTAATAATTTGATTCTCAACTTCATATTGTTGCTTATGTATACTTTTATGCAGGGTGTTGCTATAACACAAGAAAATTCTTTGTTGGACAACACAGCGAGGATTGAGGGTTGGGTAGCTCGATTCCCTATGTTTGATTGGGTTGGCGGCAGGACATCTGAAATGTCTGCAGTGGGTCTTCTTCCAGCAGCACTTCAGGCATGTAGTCCATAGATTTAATATTTAATGTGGTTTTCAGTTCACTTTCGGACAATTCTAAGTGAATATTAATGCAGGGAATTGACATAAGAGAAATGCTTGTTGGTGCATCTATGATGGACGAGGCCACTAGGAGCACAGTGGTAAGTTTCAAACTGAGGTCTTAATAGTTGCTTTAATATATTGTGATGCCGCTTTCTAATGATTGAATAGGTTAGAGTTGAATCATCAGAATTGCAATTTTTAGTTGGTGACCTTCAGTTACTTATCTTCATTCCCTTGATGTTGCCCATTTTGGAAACTAAGAATTTTAGTAGGCAGTTTCTGAGCATGGGCCAAACATGCTCACTTCTATTTGAAGTGCTACCTTGTTTAGTTTGCTTTTGACTTCCTGTATTTATTCTCTATCTGGCCTGTTTTCCACCTGTTATCACAGATAAGATCTCTTGATTGACATACATATTTTTCCTCCTTTCCTTCAGCTTAGGAATAATCCTGCAGCATTGCTTGCTTTATGTTGGTATCGGGCAACTGATGGGATTGGATCTAAGGTATTCAATTCTAAACTATATTACAGATCTTGTATTGTTCAAATGTTGGTTTCTCATATTAATGGCATCTCTTGTTGGGTTTCTTCAGGATATGGTTGTCCTTCCTTACAAGGACAGCTTATTACTATTTAGTAGGTATTTACAGCAGCTAGTTATGGAATCACTTGGCAAGGAGTTTGACCTTGATGGTAACCGGGTATATAAACTTTTTAAGATGAGTCATACAACTTCCATTTAGGATGTATCCTGGAGATTACTTTTGGTTCATTGGTGGCCACTTTGCACAAAATGCTAAATTGTAGGACCCTTTCGGTCAATCACCCCCAAAACGCCATATGGTGGGTGTATTACTGGATAAAGCATGTGAGCTGATATGTTGACATTTTGTGTTTGAGGAGAATGAATGGTAGTTCCATGGGTGATTGAGTCTTAGGTTAAGTATTCCTCTGTTGTTTTATATTCTCTTGCTTACCTGGAGCCATTTTAATAGATTAATTGTTTTCACATCTTGACCATTGAAGCTTTTGGCATAATCAAAGATTTTTTTAACATGGTTGTTCTATTGCTGCTAAATATTAGCATTAAGTGATTGGGCCACTAGTTATTTAAAAGACAAGAGACTTTCTATTTGTTCTTTTCGTTTACATAGCATGAATAGTAAGTAGGAGAATAGTCTCAAGTCTGAGGAACCTTATCGAAGGCATTAGCCTTAATTCAGAAAAGTCTGTGCTTTAGCCCAATGCATATTATGTACAATTTATTAACATCAAAGCATTATGAGCCTGCTTCATTGAAACTTAATTGGGATCCAAACATTCACCGAGGGTGGAGCATGATGCAATCGAATTGCATTTTAATATTTTGGGGCCATGTGTTGAATATTTACCCTTTGATGTTTAAGTTGCTTTCTTACGTGATTAGACTTAGTAAAAACACTACTTAGTTCATCAGGTAAATCAAGGAATTACTGTTTATGGGAATAAAGGAAGCACAGATCAGCATGCGTAAGTTTTCCTTATGCCTTTCAAATTTATGCAATCTCTATTCGTGTAAGCAATGCCCTGGCCTGATGCAACTTTTCACATATAATCTATTTATAGCTATATTCAACAACTAAGGGAGGGTGTGCATAATTTCTTTGTGACATTCATTGAAGTGCTACGTGATAGACCCCCTGGTCATGATTGGGAGCTTGAACCAGGTGTTACATGTGGTGACTATTTGTTTGGAATGCTACAGGTTTGATTAGTGCTGGTTTTCTAAAACAACGGGATTTTTTGAATGGACACATGATAAAGGCTGGTAATTTTTGCATTTTATAACATTGTTTGTGCAGGGAACACGATCAGCTTTGTATGCAAATGACCGGGAGTCCATTACTGTCAGTGTCCAAGAAGTGACACCTAGATCTGTGGGGGCTCTCATAGCACTTTATGAGCGAGCAGTTGGAATTTATGCCTCGCTTATCAACATTAATGCTTACCATCAACCTGGTAAATATATGTCTCATCTTCTATTTAAGAAATATAATTCTTGAAGTGAACTAAAAAGTATATTGTGCGTAGTTGGGTCATATCTTGTACCGTAGCTATTTGATCTAAATCTTCTTTGTTCGGTAATTAATCTGATGGTCTTTCTTTCTCTGTTTTTTTCATTTAATTTTCATCTTAGGTGTGGAAGCTGGGAAAAAAGCAGCGGGTGAAGTGTTAGCTCTACAGAAGCGGGTTTTAGCAGTACTCAATGAGGCCAGGTAAGATGTCAGATCCTTATGATCAGGTGTTTATGGTACAATATATGTTAAAGGACCTAATGTTGTTTTATATATTAGATATTTATGCTTCAGGGAAACAGCATACTTGAAAGTTAAAACAGCTTTTGCAAAGTTTATTGTCATTTTCTGGACATCCTTTATGGATGAATTGGAATGCCTATTAACGTCACAGAATTGAAGAAAATTTTGACTGAAAAGTCATTGTAGATTACGGATACTGATATTCTCTCTCACGTTCTGGCTTGTAGCCCATCTTTCTCTTTCTCTTCTTCCTCTTTGTTTCAAAGGCTTGATGACCTGCAATGCAATTCCATTTTAGGCTCTGTTTTATTATCGTTTCATTGGACTTGGGGTGTTAATATAAGTGTGTGTTTTGTTTTATTGTTGTTTTTCGCTGACTACTTTTTTGTTTCACTTTGTTCAGTTGTAAAGATCCTGTTGAACCATTGACACTTGAACAAGTGGCTGATCGTTGCCATGCTCCCGAAGATGTATGCACAAAAAACTGTTGAAGATACTTCTTAACACAATAAAATGCTGTGCTAACCTTATTTGTTTCATGGCTGCAGATTGAAATGATTTACAAAATCATTGAGCACATGGCTGCCAATGACAGAGCACTAATTGCTGAAGGCAGTTGTGGTTCACCGCATAGCTTAAAGGTTTTCCTTGGGGAATGTAATCTGGATGAATTGTATGCTTAAGTTAACGCAATGAAATTCATGTTAAAGTTATTATGGTTGAACTTAAGAGAAAAAAAAAGCTCCAATAAAATAAGATAACACCAAATCCCAGATTGGGTTTTTCTAAGGCTTAAAATTGAAATACATCCATCAAAATATGGTAAGCGCCCACTTCACCTGCATGATACTCTTGGCTGTTACACTAGCTTGTTTTGCTCTTGATTACTAGGGACCGATAACCGACCATTTTCTCATTCATCTGATGAGACAGTCCATCGCTACAAATTTTCACCCAACTCAGGCAATTATATCTGCATCATTGTGGAGTTAAAATCTGCCCAAGATTCCTCGAATGCAACTCGTGTTTTTTGTGGGTCGCTCGGCTAATGAAACCCAATACAAGAAACATCAATTTCCATGTTTGAAAAGCTTTCAGGTCGTCCATTTGTCCTTCAAGACAACAGGTAGGTGAGTATCTTACGTAGGTAGTGTTTTGAAAAGCATGCTTGGGCTATCTTCTTTTGAGCTAAATTTTTTTAAGATATGTTTGGATGAGCAACGTGGTAAGTGTTTGAAATTGCATTATATCCTTAGTTGCCTCTTCTTTTTCTTTGGACGCTATAAACATACCCTTAATCCTTTGAGTTCATCTTCATCTCCTCTTTATTTCAAAGCAAGATTTTTTTTTTAATTTTTATATTTCTAGTTGTCAAAACAAATCACAGCCGTTGATCACACATACCAAAGACTACAAATCGACAACCAGAATTGACCATCAGGTGACTTTTGTCTTTTTTTTTTGGGCCACAAATGTGTCATCTGTTTTCTTACATTAAAATATTTAATTGAACAAAACCAACGTGCGGCAAAAAAAAAAAAAAAAAAACCAATAGCCGATTTGGGTGAAACACCCCCCACTGCAGAAATAGAGCAAAGAGAAAAAGCATGTATCCGGTTCGTTTGGACCCACCTAACCTATGCGAACTATACAAAATGGGGGAAATATTAGAGTAACCAAAAAAAAAAGGCATCCGCACTTACGCCGTTCGACTATTAACAGTACTTTCATTAAAAAATAAAAAACGGAGTTCCTCTTTGCCACATCAGCTCACCCGTCACCTTTTTTTCACCCCATCTTGCTATTCTAATAAGGAATGTAATCGAATCAAGTCGAGTCTAATAGTGAGAAGTTCGAGAATATAATCGAGTCGAATCGAGCCAAATAGTGAGAAGCTCGTGCTCAAGCTCGACTCACAACTCGAAGCTCGATACTCGGTTCGAACTCGATCAAATTTTATTTTTCAAGCTCGAGCTCGATTCGTGATCGAATTCGAGCTACTCGAGCTCACTCGATTAGGCTCGATTAATATGTAAAAATAAGCTCGATTCGTATACTCGACAAGAGTTCAATTATTCATACTCGAACTTGAACTCGAACTTAGACTCGAAATATTTTATTAATTAAAATAATAAAAATATATTTAAATATAAAAACTTGACTAAGCTCGTAAGCTACTCGAGTCGGATATAATAATACTCGAATTCGACTCGATCGATAAGTCGAGCTACTCGAACTCGAGCTTGACTCGATAATAATCGAACCAAATTCAAGTTTTCTTCGAATCAAACCCGAATAACTTGCGAGTACTAATGTATCATTTACACCCTTAATTCTAACAAGCAGAGTCTCGAGCTCTCCGAATATAGAGTCAAGATAGATTATACTAAGTAGCCTTTATGAGTATCTCAGACGTTAGATTTTGATAAGCCTCTCAACTATATCAATCACACAGGAGGCTAACCTATTTGGTCATGTCAGAGTAAGAGCCAATATTTCACCACAGATAACACTGTAAAAACCCTTGATCATAATTTCGATAGTTTATAGCCCTCTTGTCAAACTAGTTCTGATACCATTCTAACAAGGTACAGATGTCCTAGACGTGTGTAATTAACGGGTTCAATTCTAAGCTCTCCAAGGATGAAGTCCTAACAAAACTACCTACAACATAGTGAATGATCGATTGTCCTAACAAGATAATATCAAACATAAGTAATCTATAAATCAGATATATAATCAAGCTATTCTAGTCGGTGTTCAAGACTTTGATGTCTTCTTGCCTTAACGTCAAACTGGTGACCTGACTTTTATAAAAATATGTCTTTCAATACAGTAGCTTATTTCAGTAAGATCTTGATACATTAATTTTTCTTTTGGCTGAGAGTGGATCAATGATCTATTTGATAATTCTACAAAAATTTTTGATGCAAAGAATCCATAATACTGTGACAACTACAAAACATACTTAACTTGTATCACTGCAAACCATGAAATAGATAGAAGAAATACGAATATGAAATTTTAACTGTAAAAGAAGAAAGAAAGAATTACAAAAAAAAAAAGAAAGTTTTTGTCAAAAATATTTTATAAGAAAGATTTCTTACAAATGGAAACTTTTTTATTGTTCCTTTTGGATGAAAGAGTAGACAATTTATACATAAAAAAATAAAAAAATAATAACCTAATAGGATCATATCATGATTAAAGTCATGACTTTACCAATAACTTGACATAAAGTTACTTTAAGAAAGTAGCTTTAAAAAAATGAACATGACTCAAAAATAGACATAAAGTAGATTTGACATAAAGTAAACTTAACATAAATTAGACTAGATATAAAGTATACTTAAAGTTGATGTAAAGTTTGGTGAGGCATCAACATCAACTTTAGAGTCTTTTGAAAAGCATTACCACACATAATTATACATAATTGGACTAAAACATAAAAGTCTTTTGTTTGAAGCACCATGAGTGGATTTCTAACTTTATTCGAAAAAAATCTTTAAGATATTAGAGGATTAGACAATTGTCTACCCACAAACAGTTATTGTTCAAAATCATCGGGTCTGAATCATAATTTTGGAATAATTAACTGTAGATCCTATTTTTAAATCTTGTTCGAATTTTGGAAAGATCTTCTAAATTTTGCCAATAATGGTTTATTGAAAGTTGAGCTAGTTCGGAAGGGATATGGAGATCAAAATTAACAAGTTTATGAGATAAGTCACTCCACCAAGTATTGTAGGTTGGTTCAAGGGTCCATTGTGCCAGGTGATTTAGTAATTCTTGGATATATGCTGAAGGGTACCACCATCATAGTTCTTTTTTAAAATGAGAAAGTTCTGTAAAGCTTGGAACCTTGTTAATTTTACAGAGCCTTTTCAACAAGAACTTGTAATTATGTGCATACTAAAAAATAAATTTATACAGAGAGTAAGGATTGCACACATAGATGTCAAAATAAGGTTAAAAGAAGGCATAATCATAAAAAATTTCACAAGAATGGTGAAACATGAGGATGACATGATAATTTTAATGGAGATTTTTGGTGAGAGAAAACTATATGTGTAAGGGTTTGAACCACTTTAAGAAATTTCCTATATGAATATCTATTTCATAGAAGAAATCATTGTTAGTGAATATGACTGTGGTAAAATTGAGTTCAAAGAAGTTAAACTCAATGGCAATAGTGTAGAGTTAGCATAAATATCATAAGAGAACCAAAGCTTCTTTGAATAAGCTTGTTGTATCAGAGATTTGAAATAGATGCAAAAAAAGATGTTGGGGATAAAAACCAATGGGTTGAGGCCATGATCTGCTCTTTTTCTAAAAAAAATAGTCTGCATCTTGTAAATAAGGTCATGCACGTGTCTTTGAATTGTCTTTCTTACAATGATCTGTTAAATTTCAGAAGGAAGATTATGAATTGAGAATATTAATTGAAAATCTAGATCTAAAACAAAAGAGTTATATTTTGGCTATATATATAAAGATAAGGATAAAAAAAAAGATTGGTTACTATTTGAAAAATAGGGTCAAAAGAAGGTGAATGTAAAGGTAAAAAGGTCATCATGAAAATGATTAGAATAATCTGTAAAAAGTTCGAAAAAGGTTTAAGAGAAGGTTTGGTTAGCATGTCTGAGAGGATGTTCTCTACCTTTTATATATGTTGTAGTGAAAGAATACTTTAAGAACCACTAAAAAAGTTTGAATAACTATGCATTTGACGTCTGCTTATTCTTGAAATTAAGCATCTGATCAAAAGCTAACATATCTAATTTCACAAGAAAATATTATCAAATGAGGTGAAATTTAACTTTTTGAATTTCATACATTACAGCTAAATTTTTTTTTAGTATAGAGTGGTAATGGAGTTTCAAATCTTTAAATGTACTACTTTTGTAATCACATATCTGTTTGGTTTCATCTTTTTCTTCTAAAAAAATTATCGATCAAAATTTATCGTTTACATCTGTCTACAATATCTTTTTTTTCATCTAAAGAAATCTTTAAAGTAGGAAGTGACTGCATTCTTATCTTAAATGTCTGTATTACTTTTGTCTGTATGTAAAACTACTTTAGAGGCTCTTTTTTAACATCTGTTTGAAAGAATGAGTTAACCGTACAAGATTTAAAAGAAATTCACTCATATAATTTACTATGCTGAAAAATTGTTATGCTTATTTTTTCGATAGATTTTCATTAGAAAAATCTGCAAGTGTCTTAACAATGTGAGTTTGAGCTATGAATTGTCCATCTTTCAAATGCATGCTTAAGAAAATAATTTTTGAAGGGTCAATGATAATTTTTTTCTCTGAGAGCATTATCTCATACTACTAAACAATTTGCTGAAACTTATCCAATAACTGTATGTAAGATGTGACATCTGAAGAGAACAGTAAGATATCTTCAATGTAAATTAATGCATTATCAAGGATGAGAGTAAATATCTTCGTCATTACTAAGACACATGTAGATTTTCCTAATGAAAATCTTTTCAAAAAGTAAGTACAACATTCCTCAGTGTAGTAAATTACATGAGTGAATTTCTTTTAAATCTTGCACAGTTAACTCACCCTCTCAGACAAATGTTAAAGAAAGAGCTTCCCAAGTAGTCCCAGATACAGACAAAAATAGTACAAACATTAAAGATAAAAGCACAGTCACTTCTTACTTTAAGATTTTTTCAGATAAAAAAAAGATATTGCAGACAGATGCAACCGATAAATTTTGATCAACAATCATTTTAAAAGACAAAGATGGAACAGACAGATATGTGATTATAAAAGTGATAGATTCAAAAATTCGATACTCTATTACCACTTTACACTAAAAAAATTTTAAATGTAAAATATAAAATCCAAAAATTTGAATTTCACCTCATTAGATACCACTTTCTTATGGAATTGAATATGTCAGCTTTTGATCAAATGCTTAATTTCAAGAAGAAACAGATGCCAAATACACAGTTACTCAAACTTTCTCAGTGGTTCTCAAAATATTCTTTCACCATAGTATATACAAAAAGCAGAGACAACATCTTTCCAAACATGCTAACTTGGTCTCCTCCTAAACCTCCATCAAACTCCCTGCAAATTATTTCAGTCATTTCTATGATGACCTCTTTATCTTTACTTTCACCTTCTTATGACCCTGTTCTTCAAACACTAACTAATTTTTTTTATTTTGTCTTTATAGCCTAAAATATAAACCCTTTGTTCCATATCCAAATTTTCAACCAATATTCTCAATTTATAACCTTTCTTTTGAAATTCAACAGATCATTACAAAAAAGACAATTGAAAGACATGCGTATGACCTTATTTACAAGATGCAGATAATTTCTACCTTAATCTCTTTTTAGAACACACTCATAGTTCTTACAAATGATGCTAATCTAGTCAGAAATCCACTCATGATGCTCTAGAAGGGATTCTTTGTTTCAATCCAATTATATATAATTATGTGTGATAATGCTCTCTAGATACTTTTCAAAAGACTCCAAAGTTGATGTTGATGCCTCATCAGACTTTATATCAACTTCAAGTCTACTTTATGTCAAGTCTACTTTATGTCAAATCTATTTTATGTCTACTTTTGAGTTATGTCTATTTTTTTAAAGCTACTTTCTTAAAGTAACTTTATTAAAGTAACTTTATGTCGAGTTATTTGTAAGATCATGACTTTAATAATGACATGATCCTATTAGGTTACTATTTCTTTACTTTTTTTATGTATAAATTATGTGATCCTTCTAAAAAAAAAAAAAAACAAGTTAAGCCTCTTCAAGAAGTTTCCCTTTGTAATAATTTTCTTATAAAATATATTTGACTAAAAACTATATTTTCTTTGGTAATTCTTTCATCATTCTTCTATAGTTAAAGTTTCATATTCATATTTTTTCTATCTATTCTATGATTTATAATGATACAAATTAAGTATGCTCTGCAGTTGTAATAGTATTATGAATCTTCTACATCAGAAATTCTTGTAGAATTGTTAAAAAATCATTGATCCACTATTTCAACAAAAAAAAATTAAGTACCAAGATTTTACTAAAATAAGCTACTGTAATGAAAGATATATTTTCATAAAAGTCAAGCTACCAGTTCAACGTTAAGCCAAAAGGGCGTCAGAGTCTTGAACATTGACTAGAATACCTTGGTTATATATTTGATCTATGAACTGCTTATATTTAGTATTATCTTGTTAGGGCAATCGATCTTCCGATATGTTGTAGGTAATTTTGTTAAGACTCCATCCCCGGAAAGCTTGAAACTAAACCCATCAATTAAGTGAGTCTAAGACATCTCTACCCTTTTTATTAGAAATTCTGCTTGTTAGAATGGTAAATTAGAAATCCACTCATGGTACTCCAGACAAAAAACTCCTCTATTTTAGTCTAATTATGTATAATTATATGTGATAATACTTTTCATATGCTTTTCAGAAGACTCTAAAGTTGATGTTGACATCTCACCAAACTTTACATCAGCTTTAAGTTTACTTTATGTTAAATCTACTTTATGTCCAGTCTACTTTATGTCAAGTTTACTTTATGTTAAGTTTACTTTATGTTAAATCTACATTATATCTATTTTAGAGTCATGTCTACTTTTTTAAAGCTATTTTTTTAAAGTAACTTTATTAAGATAACTTTATGTCAAGTCATTTGTAAGGTCATGACTTTAATCATAACATGATTTTATTAGGTTACTATTTTTTTACTTTTTTATGTATAAATTGTTTGCTCTTTTTTCTAGAAGGAACAAGTTAAGCTTCTTCAAGAAATTTCTCTTTGTAAGAAATCTTTATTATAAAATGTGTTTGACTAAAAACTCTCTTCTCGTTGGATAATTTCTACCTTCTTTTTCTATAATTAAACTTTCAAATTCATATTTCTTCTATTTGTTTCATGATTTGCAGTAATACAAGTATACTCTATAGTTACCATAGTATTATGGATCCTCTGCATTAAAAATTCTTGTACAATTATCAAATAGATCATTGATCCATTATTTCAACCAAAAAAAAAAATTATTATACCAAAATCTTACTGAAATAAGCTATTGTAGTGAAAGATATCTCCACAAAAGTCAGAACACCAATTCGACATTAAGCCAAAAGGGTACCAGAGTCTTAAACATCAACTAAAATACTTTAGTTATATGTCTGTTCTATAAACTATTTATGTTTAGTATTATCTTGTTAAGGCAACTGAACCTTCGCTATGTTGCAGGTAATTTTGTTAAAACTCAATCCCCAGAGAACTCGAAACTGAACCTGTCAGTTACACTACTCTAGGACATCTCTACCTTGCTTTTTAGAATGGTATCAAAGAGCAATTCTGAATAAAGAGAAGAAATTCTTGTTTCTATTTCTTGATTATTGAGTTGAATAGGAAAAGCCAAAAGAGAGTTTTATTTTCATGAATTTATCTACTATTAGTAATTCTAGTTCTCAACCTTCCACTTCTAGATCTTCTTTTAGTTTATCTTTTTCCTTCTTCTCTTGTACTTAAAAAGTCTTCTTTTTAAGTTAAAATTCTTGTATGAAGTAGATTACATCTAAAAAAAAAAATCCATCAAACAGTTATTCCTATTGTAAATCTTTATATAGCTTTCTTAAACTCTTTCACTTCTATTACTAGTTCTCTAAAAACCTTTTTAAAACTAAAATATCAAGTTTCAAAAGAATATGTTCAAGTCACAAACTTTGATCAATGTATTCTTCCAGCAAAAACTCAAGAGAATTTTGTTACTTTTTAAATCCCAGAAGAATTTTTCAATAATGGTCAGAACAAAGATATACTCACATCTATTTTGGTGCTATCAAAATAGCTTTGACCTTTCATGGTAGAAATAGTATTCCTATATGTATCAAAATGACCTTGTTAAACACAAGATTCAAATGATACAAGCATGCAATACTCGACATAATTGAGATGAAACTCAATGCAAGAACTGTCTTCTTCACAGTCTTCCCAAATTATAATATGTCTCTTCATAATCCAACACTGTTAGATGTTTTGAAAGTTCAAATGCAGATTGTAGGTACTAAGATGAAAGGACTCCAGGCAATCATTTACTACTAGATGACATATAAAATTCAAGATCATGCCATTAACTTACCTCTTTCAAACTTTGGTGATGTTGTCTTTGTAAAAATGGAAGCCACAGACAAGAATTTCAGACATGTTCACACTTCAAAGTAGATCTCAAATGAAGAACTTGTCATACTTTTTCCAAAGTCGTGAACGACAAATTATCAAAAGATTTGAAAGCAAGATGAACACATTCAACACTTTAATCCAACCTATAAGACAAATTAGGATGACACTGTAACAATTGAGTTTGATCACAACAAAGAAAAAAATATTCCTCCTCCAACAATCTTTCTAATATAATTCATGATGCAAAGATATCAAACTGAGCAAAATGTTCCAGTTGCACACTTCTAGTATGATGAAAAACCTGTATATACATACAAATATCTACAAGAATATTGCTATTGGAATATTAATTACAGATGCAAAGGTTGTCAAAAAGACTTATACAGAAGCCTCTTGAATGATGATGATGATATTACAAACAAGCCAAAAAAAAAAAAATCTTCCCAACAAAAGCTCAAAGAAAGATATGAGAATGGAAACTTTGAAGTTGATCTCCTCAGTGAACCCTTAGAAAAGTTTGAATATTATGTTATTTATCCTAAGAAAGAAAAATAATTTCTTTAAACGTATAAAATTCAAGCCACACAAAAACCAAATTTCACCCAACCTTTGCCTCAAATTTTCATGATGCAACCAAACTACCCAACATCAAATTTCCCTCATTTCCAAGAATTCCAAAAAAATCAATATAAGTACACCCCAAAAATGTCAAACCCCAAAAAAATGTTTCTCATGCTAAAGTAGTTTTAAACTGACAGATTGAAATTTCTCTCCAACAAAATACATACTTGTATAAAATTGAAAACAAGTTAGACCAAGTTAGTCATCACTTTGATCAAAGCCTTGTCAACTTTCAAAACATTATTCTTGAAATTCAATTAAGGATAATAACTTTATATCAAGAACTCAGATACATGATTGAAACCAACACTGGAAATCACTTATACTTTCACTAAAAGAGATAAAGAAATGAAAAGTATTAAGATTCAACTTACAGATTTTCAAAATCAGCTCCATCAAAAACAATAACAAGTAGCCTTCAGTTACAATATCTTCACTTCAATCAACACTGAAATACATAACACCCCTTATCAAGCCTATACTCCTATTTCTTACCAACCATACAATTTTTCAACCTCACCTCCAATACCTTTCTTCACCCCTTTTCAGTATAAACTCCCTCCTACATCCATACCAATATCTTCACAACCAAAATAATACTTCACTCCTATCTCAGACCAACTAAAACAACCTCCATTTGGCACAACCGAAAAACAGATTCACAGATTCCAAGAACAATAATTAGTTAATCAAAAACTCAAAAGAGTTACAAAACAACAATTTCTTCAACCTCTAAAACCAAAACTAAGCTCAAGTTCTGTCCCTCAAAACCCTACACATCACACAGACCAAAAACCTGTACAATTCATGATTTCTCTTACATAAACCCTTCCAAAAATGATTCATTAGATGGCACAAGAAAATTTTTCTTAATTTTCTCTTAAAGATATTTTTTCCTCTACTTTTAAGATAAAATCTCAAATGGAGACAATTAGGTCAAATGATTTAGTTGATTAAGATAAGTCAGAACTTCCTCAGATCTTCACGACAAAACCAACATTTGAAGTTCCAAATGATAATCCAAAAATACACAACCTTGATGCAATGAACACTGAACAACACCCTTTTTCACAACAAACACATGTTCCTCCTTCTATATCAAAGTTTTTAGTCTTTACAATTGATGATATTCCTCTTTCAAAATGGCCTTCAAGGTTCCAAGAATTCTTATTAGCATAGGGATTAGTTGAATTGAATTCCAATCCTAATGTTACGATAAACACACTCTCGATCAAATTTGTTTCCAAACTAGTTAAAACTCTAAAAAACTTTTGAAACAATATCGACAAATACAAATAACTATAGTTTCTTCAATTCCCAATAATTATAAAAGCTATATCTAAGTTTTCAGCAATATTATACGACCAAGACATTCACAATTTGAAAAATATCAGAGAATAATTTTTCAAATTAAAATGTTGTTCTTTTCATCTAAAATACCTTGACAAACACTATCAACAATTCTTTTAGTATTTTTACATCCTTGATGGATTTAATAATGTCAACTTGAAGTAAGTTTTTTTAAACTCTGTTCCAAAAAAGCTTGCACAGTAGAAAAGACACTGCTCAATCTTAAATCTCTTGATGTTAGAACCATGAACCTTGGAAATATTTACAAGATGATGTTGAAAGCCCAAGACAAGATTTGCAACACTTGGTGAACAACTCCAAAAAGCTAGAGAAACCATGTTCCTACTCTTCTTCTAAACTCCAAATCAAATGTTCTTCTAGGGACTCCACATGTATTTGCCATCACAAGAAAAAAAAGCACATTAGAAGATTCAGATATCTCATAAACTTATATTTTTTCAGATCCAAGAAACTATTTAGAAAATCACCAAAGCCCAAAAGATTTTCAAGATTTAAGTTTGCCATAAAAAAAAGACCCAAAGATCAAAAGTACAAAATGTTTTCTCTGTGAAAAATCAGGACATTTTGCAAAAACTACCCAAAGTCAAACAAAAGATCAATAAAAATGATACAAGATATTGCTAATATCTTTGGCATTAATCTTTCTGATGATAATCTTGAATCAATCTTCTCCTTTGATGATGAGCAGAATGAAAGATTACTGTTTATGCTCAAGCAATTTGATGATGATAATTTAGATTCAAATTCAAATAAATTTACAAATGATCAATGCTATGAGTACATGTCAGTCTAAGCACTTCAGAAAGTCCAAACATTTCAACCTCTAAAATTAACTTTAGCCCCAATTCAAATATTCACTCACAAACATTCCCCTCCCATAATAATCACAGCATTCTTTGACATTGGTGCATCCTAAACCATAACAAATCTCATTGTCTTACCCAAAATCTTTAAAAAAAACGAAAAACATTTTTCAAGACCACTGATGAAAATGTATTCTCTACAGACTTTATCAACAATCTTGTTATCCTTTAAATTTTCTCATGTTGTTAAATAACTCAAAAAATTTTAAGATCTTCACTTCCTCAAAAAGACCTTGTTATTGGTTTTGATGTCATAACCAGTATGCTAGATTTATGAATTAATGAAAAAGGTATAAAGTTTGAAATTATTTCAAATTTTAGAAAAACATTCCCAACCTTTTCACCATGTCTATTCAACCATATGTCTTTAAAAAATTTAGACAAAAATTCATTCAGATCTCATATGTAGAAAATCACTCAAAAATCCTCTAGAAGTGCAATCACCTTTTTTGAAAAAACCATTAATTTTTCATTACCCTTCCCTTCAAAAAGATAAAAATGTCAACCCAACAAAAACAAGTCATTCAGGCATAAACCTTAATCACTTCAAACTAGCAACCCAAGAATGTTCCCTCTTTCAGGCTCAAAGATTAATTGAACCAACATCTTTTCAATGGGCATGTGAAGCGTTTTATGTCAATAAACGTTCTGAACAAGTTTGTAAAAAATTAAGATTGGTGATTAATTATAAGCCTCTTAACATTTTTCTTGCAAATGATAAATTTTCTTTCCAAACAAAAACTTTGTTTGTAAATTTATCAAAAGCAAAAATCTTCTCCAAATTTGACCTTAAAGTAAGATTTTGGAAACTTGTATACATCCTTGAATACCCCTTCATCCATCCCTTCAAATTCTCTGACCCACTTTGTTTCCCAAAAGAAACAGTTTGTTTCATATGATACCTTTATCACATTTACTATATTGCTGTAGAATTTCCACTCCTAAAGCTTAAAACATTTCTTCACCTTTTTCAATAGACAACCATCTACCTAAAAAGATATCAGATGGACCCCAATCACCAGCATCTCAAGTTTTTCTTCAACTAGTTCAGACCTATTCCAATTTGGATCAAATAGATAAAAACCTATGAGAGATACACAAAAGTTTTCCTTGACCTTCACATTATTTTAATTTTTCACAGATCTTGCAATTATTTGACAAATGAGTCCCAGTACTTCCCGTATACGATAATTTATAGCTCACAAGGTTATTCATTATTATATTTTCTTTTTTATTAGCCTGCTAAATATACTGAATTTCAGAGATAGATTTATAAAATGAATCACCAGATTCCTAAACAAAATTGGCTAGAGCACCAAGATGATGTTCTATGGGAAAACTATATTTCAGATTGATAAAAAAATTTATGAAATAAGAATTCATGGCGCATGGACAAAACCTCTTCCTAAAACCACAAAATATGAACTTAAACATACATGACCAATAGAAAAAAACTCTTACTGGAAACCTCCTGAAGTTCTTAAAAAAATAAAATGACAAGATTCACAAGACCCCTATAAAGATTTTGACCCAGATCAATGGTTAGAAAATATAGGTTATGACTTCACTACAAGTACAGATAATTCTCTACCTTAACTTCTCTCTAAAACACACTCATAGTTCTCATAAATGCTGCTAATCTAATCAGAAATCCACTTATGATGCTCCAAACAAAAGACTCCCATGTTTCAGTCCAATTATGTATAATTATATGTGATAATGCTCTCCATATACTTTTCAAAAAACTCCAAAATTTGTATAATTATGTGTGATAATATTGACATCTCACCAGACTTTACATCAACTTTAAGTCTACTTTATGTCAAGTCTATTTTATGTCTATTTTTAAGTCATGTCGAAAGTAACTTTATGTCTAGTTATTTGTGAAGTCATTACTTCAATCATGACATAATCTTATTAAGTTACTATTTTTTTACTTTTTCTATGTATAAATTATGTGCTCTTTCTCCCAAAAGGAATAAGTTAAGCTTCTTTAAGAAGTTTTTCTGTGTAAAAAATCTTTCTTATAAAATATGTTTGGCTAAAAATTTTCTTCTCTTTTAGTAATTCCTTCTTCCTTCTTTTATAGTTAAAGTTTTATATTCGTATTTTCTCTATCTATTTCATGATTTGCAATGATACAAATTAAGTATGCTTTACAATTGTCACATTATTGTGGATCTTCTACATAAAAATTTTTATAGAATTATCAAACAAATTATTGATCCACTATCCCAATCAAAGAAAAATTACTGTAACAATATCTTACTGAAATAAGCTATTGTAGTAAAAGTCATATCTCCATAAAAATCAGACCACCAGTTCGATGTTAAGCCAATAGGGAATCAAAATCTTGAATACTGACTAAAATGTCTTTGTTATATGTCTTATCTATGAACTATTTATGTTTGATATTATTTTGTTAGAACAACCAATCATCCACTATGTTGCAAGTAGTTTTATTTACACTCCATCCTTAGAGAGCCCGAAATTAAACCCATCAATTTCACGAATCTAGAACATCTCTACCTTACTTGTTAGAATTTGCATCATTTAAATTCTTGAATCACAGTCGTTTGTGGGAAATCTGAGCACTGACTTAAGAAAATTTTAAATAAAAAAAGAAAATGAAAAAAAACAAAAAATGAAAAATCCCATAATTTTTTCAAAAAAACTTCAGATTTCAATATTCTCTATCTATTTTTTATTCAGAGCTGAAGAAAGCTTGTAAGCGTAACAAAGGCTTTTGGTTTTTTTTAGTTTATCAAATCCTTTTAACTGTTAAATTACTACATTCTAAGCTTGTAATTCTATAGTAATTTCCTTTTTTTTTTTTTTGATAAATTATGGCTAGTAATCCTGAATCTTTTAAAGGATGGACCTTGGTGGGATTTGCACCGAGGAAATTGATGCGTTATGAATAAACAGTTTAATACACTTAAGTTATATTTGATACACAAAATTATGATAAAATAAAATAAAATAATATAATATTATGAATAAAATTAAATTAAATAATATAATTCTATATTATATTTGATGTATATAAAGATTAAGATAAAATAATTTATTTATTGATCAAAATTATTTTTTCTTAAAATCTATACAATTTAAATTATTTATATAATTTTTAAGAACATAATAAGACATGTAAAGTTAATCCCATGCATTAAAAACAATCCCTTACTTTTTTTAATGATAGATTTATCCTATTAGCATAGAATATCTTATTCTTTCAATAATCTAATCTTTTTATTTAAGTGCATAACAAATATGTAATTAGATGATTAATATCTTATTTTTCAACTAATCCTATGTACCAAATATTTACTATAGTTTTTAGGTTTCTTGAACCCGTCAAAGTTAATGGCCCAAAAAAGAAACATGTTAAAGGCTATTATACGTATGAAAACTTGAATCTAAAGTTAAAGAGAATGACATGAATTTTAGGAGAATCATACCCCAAAATCTAGCTATCAGAGAAGAGTCCACAAAAGCAAATGTTAGACATCCATTACTACCTAGGGCATTTGCATATGCTGATCACGAACTGCAGAAGTTACCAGATCAAAAGGGTGAGTGAGCCGTCACAAGGAAGATGATGCTAATGAATTTGAATTGCCATCAGAAATGCTTCTTCAAGAAGAAATATTTACAAGGATTAAATTTAGAAAAATGGATCAATGGATCTGCAGCATGAAAAAGAATGGTATTCATGTCACACAACATGCAAAAACACCAAGGTTGCATTCGACAGCAAGAAAGCATACATACAACAGTGAATTCCAGTATCACTCTGTTCACCAAGTAGAGCAAGGAAATCAGAGAAGCTTTGATATAACATGACAAGAAGTCCAGAAGGCTTTTGAGGCAGTTCTTAGAAGTAAAGGGTTTGGTATATCCTGTTGAGAACGAACAAATAAATGTATTGTATCAGCCAAAAGAAATGAAGTGAAATCAGAATGATGTTAATAGGAAGATGCATTAAATCATAGGCAACTGAGGAAACTGCTAGCAGCACAATGGAGGAAATAAGAAACGCTGGTTTGTCAAGATTAAAATTATAACCTACCCAATTGCAGTTGCCCCCCAGGATGCCACATTATAAATGACTTTACTTCCATCCCATGCTTTTCGAAGCTTTCCTTTTTTCTCTTTTACAGAGAAGGTCTTGCTTAGTGCTACAAGAAAATTCAAAAGTGTCAGAATTCCCACACCATATCAATGGCTAGAAATATTGTATGGATTATGGAATAAAAGATATTTGAGATGGAAATTTAAGTTTTTCAGTTAAATGTATCGCGGTAAAATTGGATGCCAATCTAACTAATGAAAAGAAACAAACTCACCTTCCTGAAGTTGATTGGGAGTCCAATCCTGGGTAAGGAAAAAAAAATTCTTTAGCATCCATTGCTGAATAATCCATGACGAACATGCATAGACAGTTAGTTTTATTCAGTGTGCCAATAAGTAAGACCACAACAAAACTTTTATATAAGACAATAATTTTTTCTGGCTTAAGTGTATTATGTGTGAATGAGTCAAAAGAAAAAGATTGAAGTCCATAATACTTATAACACCAACGGAGAGCAAGAAATTTACATGCCTTAGTCTGTTTAAGGGACAGCAAATATGCAGCCATAAAACAAGCAATGCCTTCTACTATATCTTCCTGCCTAACAAGAACATAATCTTCTTGATCCAAATCAACAACTTCGTCTTCCCAAAGATCATTTTCATTGACCATGTCCCAAGAACTACCTTCTTCTGGTTCCAAAGAAGAATTTCATTATTATCCACACAACAAAGATCATTTTAAACACAAGCAAAAGTTCCCTAAAAGAAAGAACTTCCATATACTGAATAAATATGCCTGTTCAATGTCTTTGCAATGAGTTGAAATCATATATATGCTAAAGCAAAAGTTCCCTAAAAGAAAGAACTTAAATATACTGAATAAATATGCCTGTTCAATGTCTTTGCAACGAGTTGAAATGATATATGCTAACAGTCTAAAAGGGACCATCTTTGGATGCATACCAGCAATGTTTTCTGGAACTGGCACCTGAGCACACTCTAGCTTTTTGAGGAAGTCAGAGCATCGAACTCTAGATTTGGGAAGATCACACAACTGCATTTAAAGTAAGGTACATGCATTAGATATCCAACTTATTTGGAACCATTTTGAATGAAAGCAAATGCAAACCTCATGAAGTACTGCAAATTCTGTAGATCTCCTTTCTATCTGGTTGCTAATTTCATATGCATAATCTATTTCATAAAGCCATTTACATTAAATAAAAGAATTCATAAATTCAAGGGTTTTAGTATATCAAAATCAGGTATAAGGGATCGCCATATTTAAGTGAGATTTCAATATTTATTGCCATTAAAAGATGCAAGTTGTGACTAGAGAACTATAAAAGTGGAATACAAGCTTTAATTTTGATCCATGACGTTTAAGAAAACAACTGACTGCAAAGTGGAACAAAATGAACAAAAAACACACAATTCACCACTCCAAAGTGAAATACTATCATCAGAGGGGAAAAAATTCTTTTTTTTTACTTTTCACAACCATCAGTAACTGAACTTCTAGAAGTGAAAGAGAGTTCCAGTTTTTTTACAAACTGTGGGCTCTGATTTTATGCTTTATTTATCAAATTTGAAATCATTTGGTATTAGTTCCTAATCTCATACCTTCGGACCAAAATTTTACTTCATAGGATGAATGTTATAATGGAAAAGTTTTAATCTCTTCTCCGTTTCATTCTCGTTTGGCTCTTTTTTCAAAATAAATATATGTATACATAGGGTGAGACAAACACATAAGAAAGGAGCATTGCAATTGAGATGACATCAATGAGACAAATGCTAAGTGGCAAATGGACTCTGAAACAATGGAAGGCATCATCTAATGAATTGTACAACGAAAAGGGTGTTTTAATCTATTCACGTTTTATTTAACAGTTGACTCCTGCCCTACACCCTCTGGCATACTTCCGTCAGATTGTTTTTTTTTTCAATTTAATACTGAAAGAGTGCAATCCCAGCCTACACTGGCTTTTAACCAAGAATACCATTTCTCCATCTTATGACAACAAGCAAAATTCTCAACCTAGCCCAGACTAAAAACGGAAACAGACACAGTGATCATGGCAAAACCAGCAAACCCACATCAAAAACTAAAACTAACCAAAAGCAAGGCTCAACCAGTAACTTAATGTCTTGCAAAACTACATAATGCAAGCATGCAGCACTGAAAAAGAAATAGACACAGATATGCAACTGGTGCATCCAACACAAATTAGACCATTATCCAAATGAGAACCGCCATTTAGCTTTAATATAAGTTCAATTGTCTCATTCAAGCTGAGTTCAACTCAGATCCGATCATCACCCAAAGTAGAAACAAATAATCCTAGAATTCTCCAAAAAAATAGTATAAGTTTAAACAAACTAAATCTTCATAAAGAACATGATAAATCCACCAAATCGAAACCACTCGTTCTTACGAGCTAAAAACTGATTACGTAAGATTCTCACTTAGACTTCCTTTCCTTCTCTTTCCCTCGTTTTTCTTAGCATCGGAAAGAAATACAAATCCAGAACCAAACCCTGAGAAAACAAACAACAAACAAAAAGAACAAAACAAACCTCGTCGGCCTCTTGATCTCTTCGAAGGCCCAGACCGCAGAGTTCCCCTTGAGGATCCACGTCATCTTCATCGTCATCATCGATTCCAACTTCGTTGTTACTAAGCAATTCGAGAGCTCTCTGGCATTGTTCCAGCACAGCTTGCAAAGTCTTCCGCTTAACGCGAAACTGATCTTGCTCTTCCACAACTTTTATCTTCATCTCCCCCACTTCCATCGCTAACGATTCGTTGCTCGAACCCGTTACCTCTATCTTCATATCGCCAACCCTAATACAATCTCAAAATTCCACCAAAGCCCCCCCCTCGAATTCAAACCCTAGAAAAATCTAATCAGTTCAAATTAAAAATTTTGAAATTTTCGTCCCATAAGGAAATCGGAAATCACGGAAGCACGAAATTGAATTTTATTTTTCTTTTTTAGAATTATTGTGAGGAAGAACATACGATTTTTCCTTTTTAAATCTTTTTTGGGTCTGGGAAAAAATAAAATAAAAACTAAAAAAAAAAAAAGAAAAGGTTGGAGAAGGGGCATATAGCCGCCGTGACAGCGTAGGAGCAGCGAGGCCCGTTTTGGTTGGGGGTTGGTTCCCGAACACGCGGGGGAATGGAAATTTGGTCAAATTCATCTATCACAACTTATCGTTTCGTGTAATCTTGGTTTGGTGGAAACTAAAATGTACGTTAGCCTATCTCCATCGTTTTCCTTGTGATGTGCTGTCGTTTTAAGAGTTCGAATTTTATTGAACTTGATTGAACAATTTTATCATTGCTAAAAGAAAAAAAAAGTAAAATATATTTTCATCAATTGCCTTTTTTATAAAAGAAAATCATAATTTTGATATAAAAATTAAAAATAATGATATTTAAAATTTATTAAAAATTACTTTTTAAATATAATTATTAAATTAATTAAATTAAATATCAGATTACGTTGTTATTATTTTGTTAATAATAAAAAATTAGAGAATATAACATAATCATAAAAATTTTTAAAAAATCTTATTGAGATTAGAAAAAAATTAATTATTTATTCAAATTTAAAATCATTTAACATTTTTTACTAAATTGCCGTACATGGTAATAATCTCCACGCTGATATCACACTAGCCTGCAAATGCCGAGCCTATTTAATTTTGAACTAAAGAAACATAAAAAAAAAAAAAAAAAGGAGGAAATTTTATATTGAAATCTTCCTTAAATTGTTATATTACATCCAATTCTCTTGTGGAAAGTCTACGTTTTGTCATTTAAATAGAAAGAATATAAGATTTATGATTTCTTAAAAAAAAAGGAACATCAAAGAAAATAAATGAATTCTTTTTGTGTATGAAATGTGATGGGTGTTTTCAAACATAAAATATCAAAATTACCCAAAATTTTAAGTTTATAAATAAAACCATTTTTAAGTTTTAAGTCTGTAAGAAATATTTTTTACAAATGAAATCATATAGGTAAAATAATTGTAAATATTAAAATTTAAATCTCAAATTTAATAATAAAAGAATACTACAAAATATGTTTTAAAAAATAGAGATGCATAAACTGACATCATTTTAATTATTTGTCATTATTAAACAGAATCATTTTACTTGATAAAAATTTTAAATGGAGTTTGATGAAATGTTCAAATTCATATAGCTGTTATTTAATTGAAAACTATGAACATGAATTGCAATAAAACTAAAAATCTGATTTGGAAAATATGGGTTTGGTAATAATACCATGGTTTTTTTTTTCTATGCTTTATAAATTTGAAAAGCAAAACCAATAAAGTGACAAAAACTTATGATTAAATAAAAAAACATATTGATAATTAATTGGAAAATTCTTTATATTAATACATGATTTATTTTAGAAGCTTTTTTTTTGGTACAAAAAAATATTGAGGCAGAAAAAAATATTGTAAGTGTTAAAATTTAAATTTTAAATTTATTGAATATTATATTTTAAGAATGATTATATGAACTAATTAAATTAAATTTTAATTTTTTTTTATTTTCAACATTAGTTTTTATTTAGTTGCTTTGATTTTGAAACTTCATTGATTCTACTTTAATGAATTTCACATAAATTGTCACTTAGCTTAAAGTAATATTTCATTTAAACAGGGGTTAAGCAAGGGCCACGCCCCCTTCTAAAAAAAAAAAATTCTCATCTTTTATGCTCTAGTATCTAAGCCCACCAAAATAATACTTTGGCCCTCCTTCTCTTTTGAAATTATTATTTGGATTCCTTTTACTCAATTCTTGCCTTCACCTTTTTGTTTAAGATAATTATACACAACTTTTTTTCATATATCTTCCATCTATTACACCATTTCATTTTATTTCCATCATAATAATTAATAAAAATCCAATAGAGTTTTAATTTTATTCAAGGTTACAATTTTACTACCTACGAAACAAAAAGTCGAAGGGTTTTGTTTTCTTTTTTCATATTTTCTTTTCCATCCTAACAAATATAAATAGAGTTTCGAATTAAATTCTTGTAATTAGAAGATTTATTTCATGAACCATAACATTTCAAAACATATTTTTTTTAGTTCTTCACAAGTTTTACATATATCCATTAGGATATTCAAGCAAAATGAAAAATGATAGAAAGCCATCCCTGATTCTAGAGCATACAGCTCAAATTATTTTATTGAACACCTTTTTATTAAATTGTCTTATGTAAAAAATAAGTATTTCTTATTACATCACAATTAATGCATTTTCAAGTAAAATTAAAATTTTAATCCTGATTATCTCTTAAATCAGTTGGCATTTAGAGGATGCAGATTCGAAAGTAGGGGTGAGCAAATATTGGTTCAAATCGATTTAACCGACCCAAGTCGATGAAATATGATCATTTCGGTTCAGTCTAGTCAGCTTTTGATTATAATCGATTTTGGGATCGATTAAATTGATTAAATCGATTAATTATTGGTTCTTAAAATTGATAACCGAATTAACTGATCTTATAATAACTAATGGTAAATATGTATATTCCCCTAAAAAATCTTAAACTTAACTCATTTTTTCTAACCTATCAAGACCCCTCCATGCCATCCCTAATTTTTGCTCTTTGTCTCCCTCTTAGTCTATTGCATCTTTGCCTCCCTTTTAATCTCTTGCTCGACTGCTTTCTTCTTAGTCTCTTACTCAATTGCTTCACTACCTCTCTCGTACGTTGCCTTTCTCGCCTTTAATTTGTTGCACAATATCTATACAAAATCAAAGTTTGACAATTGTAGAGATCTTCCTTTTCTACACATGACTTACAGCCATTGTAAGTTCCTAATAACTTTTCTTTTTTTCTTTACTGTAATACTATAATAGTTGCCAAAATGGAATTGAACTACACCCATCATTTTCACTTTAAAAATTTCTTCATTATTCTTAAAGCTAGTGAGGAATAGGTAAACGTCCTTTCATACATGTCTTTGTTTAGGGTTGTCTTCTTCCCTCTCTGTCAATGATCCAATAGTGCTTGTCATCAAAGCATAAAACAGACTCTTAATTATCTCTTTTATTACCCAAAAAAATGTCGCACTCATTCAATTCCCCAAAGTATATTTCCATTTTTTCCATACTCTTTTAATTTTGACATAATTTTAAAAAATTTACTTTTATTTATATTTAAAGTTATCATATTTTTAATTCAAATAATTGAAATTAATAATCTTTCATTTTTTTATAAATGAATTTAAATGTTAAATTTTTTAGTGACATAAATGCAACTATCACAACGATTAATGATTAATGTAAAGTTTGTGAATCATTTAATTCAAATGGTTAAAAATTATGATCCTACAAATTATTGATAACATGCAAAGACACTGAATTCTGAGTTGTCAATAATGGACGTAATAAAGAGTTCCTAACTTCCTATTGCTTACCTATCCTTTTTGGCCTTAGACATTGAATATTGAGTTATCATAAAAGCTAAAATAAGAAACTAATTAACTTAAATTGTGCTAGATACTTAAATTAAAAGCTAAAACAAATTAGCCTGAACTATGCTAGATATTTAAATTGTTTATTGACAAAATAAGCAACTGATACATAGTTTGATCAATAAACTATTTCATTATTTGAATATCCAATGTGTTTAATAATTGTGTGGCCATTTTATTATTATTATTTCATTATTTGAATATAATTTAATTATTTATTTTTTATTGTTTGGATACAATTTGATTATCTTTTTTTTTTTGAAAATGTTAAATGAAGTGGATGATATGACTTTAGAGTCTACACCTAATCAAACACAATCAGTTTCTCAATTTTTTGCACACGATGAAGTAACAAAAAATGAAGCTGCAAATTCTAAATTGATGAGATGAGCATCTAAGCCATGGTCAGAGATATAGGACCACTTCACTAAATTTGTTAACGATGAAGGTAATCGTAAAGCTAGATGTAATTATTGTGATAGATAATTTTTTGTTGATCCTAAAAAGAATGGAACCACTGCTTTAAATAATTACATGAATTATGGTAAAAAGCTTCTTCATGTTAGTGAGAATTATGGTACTCAAACAAAATTTGTGTTACTATCAAAAGGAATGAAATCTTTAAGCATATGAAAATTTAATCAAGATGTTGTTAGAAAAGGTATAGCCAAAATGATCATTCTAGATGAATTACCATTTAGATTTATAGAAACGAGAGGATTTAGGTATTGCATGACAGTTTCATGTCCTAGATTTCGTGTACCATCACAATAGACAGTTGCTAGGAATTGTTATAAACTTTATATTGATGAAAAGAATCATTTGAAGTAATTCATGAAATTATCTTCTATAAGAGTATCTCTTACAACTGACATATGAACTTCATTACAAAGAATAAATTATATATGTCTTACAGCTCATTTCATAGACAAAATTAAAAACTAAACAAAAATATATTAAATTTTTATCTCATTTCTAGTCATAAAGTTAAAGCTATTGGTAAGGCAATTGAGAAATGTTTGTGTGATTGGGGGATTGATAAGATTTTTACTATTATAATCGATAATACTAGTTCTAATGATGTTGCAATTGCATATTTAAGGAAAAACTTTAACAATGCTGAAACTAGTATTTTGGTAGGCAAATATCTTCATTTGAGATGCATTGCATATATTATTAATCTTATTATTTATGATAAAATGAATGAATAAATTGCTCGTGTTAGAAGGACAATAAAATATGTAAGATAATCACATTTTAAATTAGCGAAGTTTAAAGAGTATGTTATGAATGAACATATTCAAGTAAGAGTTTATTGTTTTGGATGTTAGCACAAGATGAAATTCTCCTTACTTGATGTTAGATGCAGCTCAAAAGTTTAAAAGGGCATTTGTTGCCTTTGATGATCTTGATCTTTATTATAGAGGTGAGCTTTTGATGGGAGATAGGGTACCCGATCAAAATAATTTGGCAACTGTTAAAAAGTTTTATCTTTTCTTGCAACAATTTTATTATTTCATCATGAAAGTTTCAGGTATTTCTTATGTTACATATAATACTTTTCTTGATAATATATGTGATGTTTATTCCATTTTTCCAAAATGGCAATTAAATCCTAATGTTGAATTGAATACAATGGCAAAGAGAATGAAGGATAAATATGATAAGTATTAAAAAAATATAACGAAGATGAATATGTCAGTTTATATTGCTTCTC